GCTGTTTAAAACGTGCATTCTCCCATTCAATTTCGAGCATCCAGTAATATAATCACACTTCTTGTGATTCACACGGAGCGCTTTCAGAGTATGCATTTATTTGTCATTTGAACTGTTTGGAAACAGAGCGTAAATGTGGAAGTCCTTCAAAGATTTCTAATCCTGTTGCGCCCTCTATAGGACCAGCGACTAGTCGACGTCAAGCTTAAAGCGTCATGGCAGAGCACTGAAGTCGACTAGTCGATTAGTCGGTGCAACCCCTAGGGTAGTCAAAAGTCTGGTTCCTGTAAGACTATCCTCTATTTAGCATAACGGCTCGGGGCATGCTATGATCATGTTTGATCCGCACCTCTACTTACAGCGAGGTGGAGAGACGTTCCAGCGCAGGGTAGGAAAACAGGCAGAATGAATGTACACTTGAAATAAAGGTGAGCGAGACGAGGTAAGAGGAGCAGAGAGTCGTAACGACCTTCTGGTGTCAGAGACACAATGAAGTGCAGAGCGCACACCCACAGTCCCTCTGTGATCCCAGCATCCACGGCTCCTCAAGCTCTTACCACGGGAACATTACACATCTCGAGGAGGTCTGAGAGTAACTATGCCAGCATTTCTCTCAGCTTGTGCATTTACAGTGCTTTCCTGGCTACTAGTTGCCATACTTTAACCATTTTTACAGCTGTAGTTCCTTCAATTTATTATTAATACTTCTTTCTGACATTTTAAACATTTCTGCAAAGGCAAAGCGCAGTAACTGCACATATTCTTAAAACTGTTATGACTGAAATAGTCATTTTTACATTTACATTAAAACATTTATTTTGTTTAAGGCTTAATGTAGCTAAAACAAACTTGTTTGTAATAGGTTGTTTGCACATGACGTCACTGATGACGCTACTCAGTGCTGAACGCCACACGTAGACACGTAAATAAGATATTATTTGCAGAGAGCTTCACTGATTATAAAGGAACATCATGAGATTGCGATCAATTGAAGTGAGTGACAGCTTTTTAGTGATTATTTATTACTCCTGCACATCTGCCTGCATTTCCTCGCGCAACATTACACTGCTTATTTTATTTCAAGTAATGAAAGTGTCTTTTATGTTTTTAGTTTTAGTTAAAGCTACGCTTCGTAACATTAAAAAAGGTATCAAACAAATCCATCTTTCAAACCGTATCTTTACACTATGGAAGCTTGTTTCCACCACGAGATAAAAAAATAAATAAAAAGGTTACTTGCAACTTTTTAATTCACAATTTAGACTTTTTTCTCACAACTGCAAAAAAAAAATTAAATAAAATAAAACAACAAATAGCAAGATATAATCTCAGAAAAAAACAGAATTGTGAAATAAGTATGCAATTACCTTCATTTTTTTTATTCCGTTGTGAACAGGCTTCCATATTACCCAGATATACTTTGATAAACCTAATGATTTTTATTTTAGAGTGGATAGGAGTTACTTCTTTTATTCTCTAAAAACAAGGCATTAAAAATATATGTATTTTTCTTGTTTTAAGGCTAACAAACTTTAGAGATGTTTATGCTTTATGTTGTCCTAATATTGTTTTGCCAAGGTTTAAAAGTGGTCTACAAAGATATTAACACAGGGCGCATCTATTTCTACATTAGACTACAAAACTCATGTGATTTCATTCACATCCTCAGGTGGAGTCTGATTAGATATGGACATTAATATGAGTAATAAGCGCAGATGTCAGGGTGAACTATGACTTACTCTTGGAGTTTGCTGTCAGAGCAGAGGATGTACAGCACTTTGACTGCTTGAGCGGCCCAGCATGACTGATGAACCTCATCTGCGGATATGAAGCTGTCGCCCCTCGCTGCTGCGTCGGGAAATGAGGCGACCAGAGCGTCTGTGTTCAGAAGCCACAGCTGATAATTAAAAGAGAAAAGAAACTACCTGAAGAGCAGACTTAAAGGGGACATCACGAGTAAAAAAAAAAAGTCTCCTGGTTTCAGAGTTTTCTCTTTTGAATCAACTGCTGTCATGGCAGAGAAACAGTTAAATTAAAGTTTGCAAACAAACTTTGACGTTGGCTTGACAAAGCCTTGTTTGGAAGTTTGAAATAACTTTCGTTTGAAGATTTTACTTTAAGTCAATAAAATGCTATTAACATGTTCTAGTACATTGCAAAACTGTTTAAGCAAGTTGCTAACATGATTTAACTCGCTGCTAACATGTTTTAGCACAATTGCTAGCATAATTTAACATGTTGCTAACAAGTTTTAGCACACTGCTAACATGAAATAGCATGTTGCTACCAAGTTGTAACAGTTTGGTAGCATGTTTCAACACATTGCAAGTATGTTTTAGCACATTGCTAGCATGTTTTAACATGCTGTTAGCACATTGTACATGTTTTAACACATTGCTAGTATGATTTTGCACATTAGTAGCATGTTTTAGCATGTTGCTAACAAGTTTTTAGCACATTGCTAACATGAAATAGCATGTTGCTAACAAGTTTTAACAGTTTGGTAGCATGTTTCAACACATTGCAAGTATGTTTTAGCACATTGCTAACATGAAATAGCATGTTGCTAACAAGTTTTAACAGTTTGGTAGCATGTTTCAACACATTGCAAGTATGTTTTAGCACATTGCTAACATGAAATAGCATGTTGCTAACAAGTTTTAACAGTTTGGTAGCATGTTTCAACACATTGCAAGTATGTTTTAGCACATTGCTAACATGAAATAGCATGTTGCTAACAAGTTTTAACAGTTTGGTAGCATGTTTCAACACATTGCAAGTATGTTTTAACACATTGCTAGCATGTTTTAACATGCTGTTAACACATTGTACATGTTTTAGCACACTGCTAGCATGATTTTGCACATTAGTAGCATGTTTTATCATGTTGCTAACAAGTTTTAACACATTGCTAACATGAAATAGCATGTTGCTACCAAGTTGTAACAGTTTGGTAGCATGTTTCAACACATTGCAAGTATGTTTTAGCACATTGCTAACATGAAATAGCATGTTGCTACCAAGTTGTAACAGTTTGGTAGCATGTTTCAACACATTGCAAGTATGTTTTAGCACATTGCTAACATGAAATAGCATGTTGCTACCAAGTTGTAACAGTTTGGTAGCATGTTTCAACACATTGCAAGTATGTTTTAGCACATTGCTAACATGAAATAGCATGTTGCTACCAAGTTGTAACAGTTTGGTAGCATGTTTCAACACATTGCAAGTATGTTTTAACACATTGCTAACATGATTTAGCACATTGCTAGCATGTTTTAACATGCTGTTAGCACATTGTACATGTTTTAGCACACTGCTAGCATGATTTTGCACATTAGTAGCATGTTTTATCATGTTGCTAACAAGTTTTAACACATTGCTAACATGAAATAGCATGTTGCTACCAAGTTGTAACAGTTTGGTAGCAAGTTTTAACACATCGCAAGTATGTTTTAGCACATTGCTAGCATGTTTTAACATGCTGTTAGCACATTGTACATGTTTTAGCACACTGCTAGCATGATTTTGCACAGTATGTTTTAACAAGTTGCTAACATGTTTTAGCACATTGCTGGCATGATTTCACTTGGCTTTGTCAAACCAACATAATTAAAGTTAGTTGAACTGTTGACATGTTGGCACAGAGGGAAGGAAACTCCAGTATGTTTTTGACTAAAGCTCAGAGATAGATGGTGCAAAATGTTTTGCAAGAGACCCTGAATAACTCTGACTACGTTTACATGCACCTTCATAATGTGATCATAATGAGATATAGACAATATTATAACATTTACCTCATGTTAACGCAATATTTTGATCAAATTGAAGCGATTAAGCTCATATAGCAATCATAACTGCAGTAAAACAAGTGGTGTATGCTGCTTTTAACAGGCATGTTAACGCTTTAATCGCTTCTATTCCACTGTGACCAAAGTGTGCATGTGCTTGTAAGGTACACAATACAAATTAGGCATCACATTTTTTAATTTAATGCAGTATATTGATGGTCAAAAACATCCCTTGCATTGGGTGGGATATGTGAATACTAGCGGTAGAATAATGAAAGTTGCATGTAAACAGGATGCTAAACATCTGTTAAGTCCTTGCTCTGATTATTGGAAATAATCACATTATTTTGCACATGTAACAAAATTAACCTTTTAGTACATATACACTGAAACATTTCGAAAGGATTTACTGAAAAAATCTAGAAAACTGTTTTTCATTCAAAAATTGCTAGTAAGTTTAAATAATTAAGTAACATCAATGTGTATTTTTTTCGATGCAAGACTGAAAAAGTATTTTCTTGTCAAACATACTTCAATTAATCTATGTTGTATTTACATCATCTTCCATTTTTTTTTTTTTTTTTTTTTTTGGCAGTGTATTTTTTTTTTAACAGTTTGGTAGCATGTTTCAACACATTGCAAGTATGTTTTAGAACATTGCTAGCATGTTTTAACATGCTGTTAACACATTGCACGTTTTATCACACTGCTAGCATGATTTTGCACATTAGTAGCATGTTGCTAACAAGTTTTAGCACATTGCTAACATGAAATAGCATGTTGCTACCAAGTTGTAACAGTTTGGTAGCATGTTTCAACACATTGCAAGTATGTTTTAACACATTGCTAACATGATTTAGCACATTGCTAGCATGTTTTAACATGCTGTTAGCACATTGTACATGTTTTAGCACACTGCTAGCATGATTTTGGACATTAGTAGCATGTTTTAGCAATTTTGCTAACAAGTTTTAGCACATTGCTAACATGAAATAGCATGTTGCTACCAAGTTGTAACAGTTTGGTAGCATGTTTCAACACATTGCAAGTATGTTTTAGCACATTGCTAACATGATTTAGCACATTGCTAGCATGTTTTAGCATGCTGTTAGCACATTGTACATGTTTTAGCACACTGCTAGCATGATTTTGCACATCAGTAAAAAAAATTTAGCATGTTGCTAACAAGTTTTAGCACATTGCTAACATGAAATAGCATGTTGCTACAAGTCATACGCATTTATACGGCGCTTTATACAAAACCGCTTCAAAGCAGTTTCGCATTAATAAACAGGAAAATACAATAGAAATGGTTTTAGACAATACACATGGTTTCAAAGCAGCGTCAAAGTAATAAACAGGAGAATAACAGTTAGTGCTGTAAAATTATTCAACTATAAAATAAATTCAATTTCAGCTATAAGGCAGCACAGCTCTACAGAAGACAATAGTGTCATTTACTTCAGTGTGGTTTAAATTTTTATGCACTTTGCATGAAAAATTGTTTAAAATGCGAGCTATAAATATGAATAACACTGTCACAACGTGATACGCTAACAAAGCCATCCATAAATACTATATCTATAGGCTAGTTTTTACCCTAAAACACATACTGTCCTTTCACTTCCCCAGTTCTTTTAACACACAGTAGTCTGAATACACACAATAAAGAAAACACAGTAAAAACTGATATTTTCTGATCTCAAGACAATTATTAATAGCCTACACACTCTTTTCTCTTTTCTCTTCACTCACTCCACATTCACTCCCGTTTTGTCTGCACACAAGTATCAATGTGCAATTAATCGACAATGCTGAACTCAATTAACCTGATTTAACATTCCTGATATGGGCGAAACTCATGATATCTCTAGTTTGTGAAGTGGCTCTCAGTGATTCGAGGAGTTCATCAAAGAGGACGTATGTCAACGCAGAAGACATGAGTTATTCAAGTTTATAAAAACATGAGGGTGAGTAAATGCATGCTCATTTGTGGGTAAACCATCCCTTTAAAATACAGGCAAAACACAAAAAAACTACAGAACTTACAATCACTAAAAATAGACCTTTGCAAACAGATAAACAGACTATTTTTGCTTCAAAAGCACAGCACTTTTATAAATACCCAAGGGTCAGTAACATAACATTTCAAAGCATATTAAAGAGTCTCAGGCTGTTGCTAATGGCAACAATGAATGGCCAATATGCATCATGGGTAATGGATGACATCATGATTTATACATAAATAAGCTCTGGTTTTCTTCATTTGCACTCGTGTCAAATGACTCAATGGTGTGTTACCACATTATTCCGCTGCTTTGCTTTCCTTACCTGCAGTGACTTCCTCTCCCAGCGCCGCAGAGCAGCTCCTGCAGGACACCATCACATGCTTGCTGCTGCGCTTCTGCTGTGGACAAACACAAAAGCTGCTTCATATGGCAGTGGTTACATGGTAATACATATTACAGGTCGAGTCAGTTCACTCGGCAGGCATATTCATAACACACTCAGCTGGAAACAGCAGCTATTTGAAGTGTGATTTAAACCTTTTCTATTGTCAGCTTCAGATGAAAAGTTGAATGGAATACTAAAGTTCAGTCATCTTTTTTTGTTTTGTTCAATGTTTACACATTTTGTAAGTGTTTACTGGATTTCTACCATTCCACCCTATTATGAAAGTTATTCTGGAAAAAAATAAATAAAATAAATGTAGTCCTTAATTTACAGGAAATATAAACTATTGTTCAAAAGTTTGGGGTCAGTAAGATATTTTGAACAAAATTCATTATTTTATTCACCAGTGATGCATTAAATTGATCAAATGCATTTAAGGACATTTATAATCTTAGGTGAAAAAGATGTTACAAAAGCAGCACAACTGTTTTCAACATTGATAATAATCAGAAATGTTTCTTGAGCAGCAAATCAGTATATTAGAATGATTTCTGAAGATCATGTGACACTGAAGCCTGGAGTAATGATGCTGAAAATACAACTTTGATCACAGAAATAAATTACATTCTACAGTATATTCATATAGAAAAGAGTTATTTTTAATTGTAATAATATTTCTCAATATTACTGTTTTTATTGTATTTTTGATCAAATAAATGCAGCCTTAATGAGAAGAAGATAAAATAATCAATCTTACCGATTCTAAACTTTGATATAAATGATAGCTTAATTCAAAATGTCATTGGTTAGTTTATGAAGAACTGCAAACCCATTTTTGGATGACAAAATAACTAGCCTAGCTTATTTTTTAAGCTAAATCTGCAATCCCGTGACTTGCTATTTTGCTAACAGGCTTGGAATATTGCAAACCTCATGCAACATGAGCAGAAAATAAAACATTCTCATGTAATGCTTATTTTGACCTCCTGAGGCTGAACACTTCTTTTCACTAAGCATTTGTTTTAAAAAGTGTTTCACACTCCTGCACAAAAACGGCAAGTCATTTTTCAACTTGTTTTCAAACTTCTGCTTCGACTGTATGCTGAAAATATTTAGTTAAAAAAAAAAAATCAATAAGAAAACCGACGACTGTGTGCTGAAGTCATTTAGGATTGAAAAAGTGCTGGAAAGCATGTTTTCATCTCCTCGGCATGGCCACAGGCTACACACAGATTGAGCTCGAGAAAGAGAATCAATCCCTCTTAAAGACATTACCGCTTCTCCTCCACAGCCCGGCCGAGCGTAATGTTTTTAAGAGTGGATTTCCCCTACGCCTCTTCAGCCTTTATTGTGATGAAAGCAAGCCATCTGCCTCCTCTGTCAACCCTCAGGCTGTGTAAGTCAGATCTGTGCACTACTTAGGGTGTATATCACAACTGCATGTGTCTTCAGAGCTCTGAAGCTTCACTGTTTTGGCAGGCAGGAATCAGACGTTTAGAAATCAGTAAGAGTGCTGTTTTTGCTTAATTGAATCATGCATCTCTAAACTCCACAGCTTACCTCTGCAGAGGCTTTCTGAAGCGAGTTCTCTTCCCGTACGAGGGTCTGCTCACAGCTGCTGTCCCGAGCCAACAGAAGAAACGTGTCCCCGACCAGACAGTCTCCTTCTCGCGGGAGCAGCTTCTTGTTTGCGAAGGGATCGGGGTGGCAGCACCAGTCGTCCACTAATGCATTCCAGTTCCCATTGGGCAAAGGAAGAACTCGCCCAAAAGTCCTTTAGGAGTAAGAAGATAGTCTGATAATAGCTGAACACTGAAATAATGTGTCTGACAGTGAATTTATCACTATGCTTTCATGCACTACTTCACCAAATCAATGGAAATGAAAAAGAATGAATAGTAACCTGTCTTGAAGCACCATGGAGCCACAAGACTGGCACAGGAAGGAGTACGTCACATTGACCCGCAGCTGTCCAATCACACTGCAAGGAGCTTCTGGAGGAAGAAACACAGAACAAACACAAATAAAGCATACCAAGAGATGATACTTGTTTGGATAACCAATGATTCATCTGATGATACTGATTATTAGATAGGGTCAGAAAACACTAGCATCTGTAGAGAGCTGGGTATTATTTATTAATCAGAGTGTTTATTAAAATTAAAATGTTACTATTTTATTTGTTATTTCATTTTTAAATTGTAGTATTTTTGTTATGCTTTTTTGTAATTTCTTTGTAAATATTTATATTTAGCTTTAATTTGGTTTTTATTTCAGCTTTAGCTTTAGTAATTTTGGCACTTCCACTTAAAAGTTGTATTTCAGTTAGTAGCCAAGGCAACATTTTTAATTTCTATTTAGTTGCTTTAAGTGCTTTATCTGAAATTTATAAAACAGATAGTTCCGGTCCTTGATTCTGATTGGCTGAGCCGCGTTCGAAGCTGTTGTAAATTACTCTACAAACACACACCTTTGTTTACTTCTGTGTGTTGCTCGGCTACCGCTTTGTTGGAACTACATTGTTTGGTGGAAGAATACTGTTTTTATTAATATCATTACACTTTATTTGCTCTGTTTTATTTTGTGAAACCTTACTACGTATATGGAATAACCGTTTTATAAAAGCAATAAGCCCCGTGAAGCCCGGGTTTACAGTCAATTTATAACAGCTAACAACGTGCCTAACAACGCCCCTTAGCTGTTATAGCTGTTATAAATTCACTGTAAACCACGGCTTCTTGGGGCTTATTGCTTTATTATATTTAGTCTTATTTGAGCTTTATTTCAATTAATAATCAGTTTTGGTTAACAATAATAACGCTTTTATAGAGCATTGCAAAGATTGTCAAATATAACAAACAGTAAAAAAAAAATCTAAACTAAAAATACTGGGACAAATAGGTTCGAGCCAGCTAACTCTGAGGTGTTCTGACAATATTTATTCATATTTCCATTTTATTTATTAATATTGTAATTTTTCAAATTTTTATTTAAATGTTTTAATATTTAGCTTTTTTTTTTTGTTTTAGTAATTTTAGTACTTCAACTTACACTTATATAATTTCAATTAGTTGTCAAGGCAACATTTCTGTGCTTTACGTTTTTTTTTATCTAATATTTATATTTTATTTTATTTCAGCTTCATTTCATTTCAAAGAAATTTTAGTTTTAGTTAAAAATAACACTAAAATAAATCATTGCAATGATTTTCAACTATTCAATTGAATTCCTTTAATTTCAGGTTAATATGTATAACGCTGTATAGTTTCAAAACATCTTTACAGAAAATCCATGTTTCTAAATTACAATCACGAGTAGAAAACTGCTGTATGGGTCAAAATTATCGATTTTTCTTTTATGCCAAAAATCATTAGGACATAAGTAAAGATCATGTTCCATGAAGATATTTTGTACATTTCCTACCGTAAATATATCAAAACTTAATTTTTGATTAGTAATATGCATTGCTAAGAACTTCATTTGGACAACTTTAAAGGAGATTTTCTCAATATTTTGATTTTTTTGCACCCTCAGATTCCAGATTTTCTAATAGTTGTATCTCGACCAAATATTGTCCTATCATAACAAACCATACATCAATGGAAAGCTTATTTATTCAGCTTTCAGATGATGTATAAATCTCAATTTTGAAAAATTGACCCTTATGACTGGTTTTGTGGTCCAGGGTCACAAATAATAAAAAATCTAGCTACTTAAATTGGTTTTCTGGGATAAAAAGTTTTGAGTTTTGAGCTGACTCTGAGTTGTTCTGACATGAAGTAAAGCTCAGGCTCAGAGTAGCAGGTCACATTACTGGACTTTGCTTTGTTCTTCACTGATCTGTGAATCTGGTGTGTGTGTGTGTGTGTGTGTGTGTGCAGATCATGCACTCATTCCTCTCATTCCTCAAATAAATCCAATGAGAATCAAATAAGAGTACACACACACACACACACACACACACATATATATATATATATATATATACACACTACTTGCCATATAACAAAGCCAAGTGTACATCTCGTGTTAAAGCTGAATAAAAAGTTGATCACAAAAAATAAGAGCGACTCTTTTAAAGACCTCCAGATGCTGGGGTTTGGTGAGAAAGTGCTTATGGGTAATAATCAGCGTGTACCTGTCGGCTGCTCCACCTTGAGCCGCAGTCTGAAGTGTGATCCGTGTTGAGTGTTTCCAGGACTCCTCTGGCACGACGTCTCCAGCAGACTCACCGCCGGCGTTAGCTTCACCCGATAGGTCCTGTCTGGGGTCTGGACGCTCAGGACGGAGTCTTGCTTAGACTCGATCTTCACATCTGCATCATCCCTGACAGCGTCACTGCTGAGGGGGTCAAAGAAGAAGTCACTGGTGAAACATTCATGATAATAAACTAGATTTCAGAGATGTTTGTCCGTGTAAAACATGCTGCCTCAATGCTAGGGTGTTGAAAAGTGTCCACTCAAGTCTCTATAATATTCTTCGGTGACAATTTATTTTGGTACACGTTACATGTACTTAGAATTAAAATAACAATGAATTATGCATAATTACATGCAAGTAACCTTTCATCAAATCCACTTCAAATGTTGACTACAATATAAAAAGGACCTTAAGATAAAGCCTTATTAAAATTATACAGTTGAGCTGAAATTGAAAATGTTAAAATTTTAATAAAAGTGATTTTTTTTTTTTTTTAAAGTCAGTTTTCTCTCAACACCTATGTGTGTTTCTGTAAGCATCAAACACTATCAGAAAAGATTCACCATGGACGGCTGTAAAAATAATGCTATATTTACAAAGATACATTTCAACTGTACCACCTAATTGTCCACATTATTATATAATTATTATGCATGATGCAAGGTTAATAAGTTCTTATTAATTGGCAAATTACACAAAATATTTATGTTTTATAAATCTATTCCTGACACATGAGGACTTAAAAAAAAAATTTTAACTAGGAAAAACTAAAAAGTGAGCTGTGGCCAAAACAACGTATTAAAACTACTTTTGATTTTAACATTCATATACATTTCTAGCAGAAAGGTTGTAAAAAACCCTGTCCAATACTGACATCTGGTGTTGCATTTCTGCACTACTGACTGTTTGAGTGTAAAGCTACTCCACCGAGTATGTTAACAAGTACAGTTAACCGGCTACTAGCAGAAATTATTATATGTTTAGTATTCTCTGGTGTTGTTTCGTGATCCGTCATAGCGTGCATTCTGAAAATGTAAATTACTACCTAATTACCAGAGCAAATGTAATGAGGACTTAAAAAAAAAATTTTAACTAGGAAAAACTAAAAAGTGAGCTGTGGCCAAAACAACGTATTAAAACTACTTTTGATTTTAACATTCATATACATTTCTAGCAGAAAGGTTGTAAAAAACCCTGTCCAATACTGACATCTGGTGTTGCATTTCTGCACTACTGACTGTTTGAGTGTAAAGCTACTCCCCCGAGCAAAAATGGCTTAAATTTCCTTTGTCTTTCCCCCTTTTTCTTGTTGAATTGGACTCTCTTGTTTCATCTCTTAGACTTACAAATAACAAAAAGAGTGCCACATTTTTGATGTATTATGACAACTTTTCTAAAAGAATGTAAGTTTATTTTTTGCACTTTTATGTATCGATAATGCAAATCCAGAATATTTGTTTTCTGTTCTTATTTTTATAATTGCCTTTTGTTGGAATATATTCATGTCTCGCTTCCCTGTTTCTGTATGTTTTGTAATAATAATAAAAAAAAGTCTTCAATTAACAGTTTTCCACGATACTCCTAAAAACACTGTACGGTGTTATTTTATCTGTGTAGATCATACTAGATACACATAATATTATTAGGAAATTAGGCATTTAATTGACACTTACATAAAAAAACACTGTCCAAACAGTATTTATTAGAAAGACAGATATTAACTAACTAAATAAATAACTAACAAATTGTCTAAACACACAAGAAGGAGCGTGAATACGTTTTGTTATGTATAATATAACATAATATAATATATAATATAATATTAACAAAATTATATACCGGTAGTTAAAGATTTCACGAAATTAAAATGCGTAAACAAATCAACTTAAATGTTAGGCTCCTTTATTAGTTTAAAAATATTGAAAGGGGTCAGAGTATGTCTTTTGTTGAAGAAAAAAATCAATCTGTAAGCTTCTGAAGGACTTTTATTTATTTATTTAAAAAAAACAATTTTTTTTAAGTATAACAAAAAAATCACAAGTTTACAGAACAAATTGGCATACAACTTACATTCAAGGACAACAGTTTTAAAAAGGGCTTAGACTAACACAGAATAAAAAAAAGAACAAAAAAATACCATTAAACAAAGAACATTCATTCTTTAAACCATCTATATTAATACATATAGATTAAACACAGGGGATAAAAAAAACATTATAATAAATTATATTTATCAAATAAATCTAACAAGATTCCAGATTTTTTATTTTTTGTTTTTGACAAAGTTTTTGAGTATTGTCTCGAATAATTCTTAAATACTATAAACATGGGGGGGATTTAAAAAAAATCTACATTTGTGAATAAAATTCTTCGCTGCTTCTGAAGCAGGCAGACTTTCGCGGCAGTGCTGGTATGCGCATGCGTAGTTTTTTTATTTGTATTTTTTATTTTTTATTATGAAACACAGAATGACATTAATATACTACATGCCAGGGAGCAAGAAAATAATGTACCTTTTAAGAAAAGATTCACAGTTTTTACAGCTTTCTTACTGGAAGACTCAGAAATCAAATACGTATACAGTTTTAACTCTTCCAGAAAAAGGTTAAAGAAAGGCTTACACTTACAATATTTACGTTTGTGTACAAATGCGCATGCGTAGTTTCAGCGCGCGGACTTGAGTCGTGACGTCAAGCAGTGCGCGATCGGCGGTGGCGGGAGATTTTCCAGAGTTTCGTCGAGCTAGTTCGTGTTCAGGAGAAAAACATTAGCGAGTAAAATGTGGAACCAAGGTATGTGGTTTAGTAATGACTTGTGTGTAACACGCTGTGGCTCCTAGCTTACTGAGTTTTGCTAACTTGCTAATAAGACTCTTGAGAGCTCAGTGTGATGTAGTTGTGTTGTCAGGATGTCTGTTACTCGCACTACAGTCATGCTTCACAGTGAGTATGTCGATGTTGGTTTACACATGGAGTGGTCTCGATGGAAATAGAAGCTATTTCTATTTTGGCAGGTAAATACGGCGAGGCCAGTATGGCTGGATATACACAGTCTCCAGGAGGGTTTGGGTCTCCAGCCGCCTCGCAGGGAGGAGACAAGAAAGCGGTCAGTAGTCTGCCTCAACTCGGTATGAAACCTGTCAGGGAGATGTGTCTGTGTATATGTATTATATATAACTCAAAACAACAACAAAAAGCAGAATAAGAATACAATGTTGCCTAAAGAAGCTTAAATGTAAGTAGAACTAATTATTAATACAGTACACAGTACAGTACATTTATGCACATTTAAATTCCCAATTCTAGTTACTATAATGCATCTTTTATTTATTTATTTTTAATATTTAAAAATTCATTTTTATTACGTATTCATGCATTTTATGGTGTATGCTTTGCGTCCTTCAAAGTTAAAGTTTATGACTTTCAAAGTTATCGTCTTTCATCAGATGTTTATTATCTTTAGTCTGTCTCTTCAGAAAATAGACCACAAATAAATGATGACACCTTCTCTTGCTTGGGAACAGTGTTGTTGTTTTGTTAACTAAGCCTAAAACTATTAAGATAATTTGCAGTAAGTTGTAGCAAAGCTGAAATAAAATATGAAAAAAAATATATTTAAAATATGAAAACTGAAAATCAGAAATGTTGCAGCTACCTGAAAGAAATACTAATTACTAGTTAATTACTAAAACAGAAATAAAAGTATATCAAAGCTAAATAGAAATATAAAAAACAACTAATAAAATTGAAAAAAAGCACTGTTTAAAACATTCATATATACTACAATAGTATATATATAATAGAGAAATAGCACTACTTGTGAATGTGTACAAATTTTGCTGTCCACAATGAGTGTTACTATCCCACCAGGGGTATGCTTAATTAACATAAAAATAATAAACAAAGTAATAAAAAAATAATGACTGGCTTTTACTATTTTAAAATTATATATGTCCCAGACATTTTCTTGACTGGCTTTTGCTGACACACACATGACATTCTACAACTTTAGTTTTCAAGTCGCGTTTCATTTTCAACCTGAAAGCTATAGTCATTGAAGCAGGGTGACAATAAAGTCTGTTGTGTGATGTTTGTGTGTGTTGTGCAGAGAACTCGAGCGCAGCAGATCGTTCCCTGCACCGTGTCCCAGCTGATGTCTGCGGTGCAGGCGGAGGACGTCTTCAAAGTGGGAGAGGTAGAGATCGCCCAGGTGAGTCTGATAACATAAAGGCTGCGTTTACACGGCAAGTCTTAATGCACAAATCCGATCTTTTGACCATATCCGATTTTTTGGCACGTCTGTTTACATTCACTTTAGACACAACTGGTATCCGATATCTGTGTTTATATTAATTCCCACCCAAAAGGATTGTCTGCAGTGATCGCTTTACTATGCACATGGTAGACCCTCGGGTTTTAAATGGCCGTGCTTTTAAAATTATTTATATAATTCACGTCGAATGGCCATTATTATTTGCCAGCATGGACAACGGCTGTCATGGATGTTTTGCAGCACAAAATCTACGCGGTGCCAAGATGGCGACGGCTGGCTCCGCCTACTTCAGGCTTCAAAATGCTCGTCGGAAGTCTACGGGTTACGTCACGGACACTACGTCCATGTTTTTATACAGTCTATGGTGTAAAATCGGCCAAATTTACATCTGCATTTTGCCATCAAAGTCAGGGAACACAAACTCAATCACCCAATAGACCTTTATCACAGTGGAATTGATTACCGGAAGTGCTCGTCGAAGCAGTGTATCGATTCTTCCGGTTATGTATATTTTTCAATGTGCTGTAATCACCTGGTTAATGAGCACCTGCAGGATGATTTCAAAATCCGGACATTTTCAGAGACAGATGAAGAGAGATTCTGATGATTACTGTGCACAGAATTTTTTTTTTTTTTTAGTTTTTCAGCCATTTTGACAGCCCTAGCGTATGTTAATCGAAATATAAACGCCTTAATCGCAGTATTGCCGCTCTGACCAAAGTGTGCATGTGCTCGTGATATACATGAATGACGTGATACGCACCTGTAATAATACGCAGATGGCGGTAAAGAAAGCGTCGCATTTCTGGGAAAACACAACTCGCTGTCACCAGTCTCTGTTACCCTCATCCAGAAACGACGAGTAGAACGCGACGGCAGCGTAGGCAAACGAATTGCCATCATATTTCTATGGCGCTGTAAAAGCATGGAATACAACAATACACAGGGCTCACAAAATCGCTAGCCCGACGTCCCGGGGCTATTGTGTTTTCCAGTCGGGCTACCAAAATGT